AGTTTCTAGGCTCCTACAGTCTACAGACTCCACACTCAGGCCCATATGGCAAAGTTGCTTGTGGCCGGGACAGGGGCATATCCAGGAGGTAGGGGAAGTCCCAACTCTACAGCAAGCAGGTTATCTATACCTGCCCCTATCTACCATATTCTGCCTGGCCAGGCATCACTTCAGCATACAGCATAACCGAACAACGTCATAATAGCGGGAACCATATGTAATGTCTGCATTTACCTGAGAATTCTTCATAAACAGTATAGAACAACCAAGATGATACAGGGGGGCTGCGGACACCTGGAGTAGTCTCAAGAAGATCAGTTGGCAACTTCTAGGTGGAGGTTGGGTCAGTTGTTAAGTAGGAGCCAAGCAATGGGATCGGGTCAATTCGCAACTCCAAGGAATACTGGGTGCTCTAGAGTAGAAAAGAATAATGACTATAGCCTCATGTAGCGGACCTCTGGTTGGCCTGTGAGACCAGCCCCTTGGCCTGTTCTCACAGGCCTGTGTTTTATTCGGGGCAGTCCAGTCCAGGCCGGTACCTCTGTCGGTACCAGCCAGTCCAGTCCAGTCCCGTCAGTCTGCTAGGGTATACCCCAGTCATTGTCTGTTTTCGAGATATTCTACACTCGCACAGTTTTGGAGTACGTGCGCTGGAGTCTTGCGTGGGAGCTGGGCTGTGCTGTCTCGCTCATCCCTCATCCTCCATCTCCATCATCATCCCTAGCGGAGCACCACACTTGGTGGGTCCGCTACATTGGTATCGGAGCAGGCGTTTCTCCCTGCTCCCCTCCCCCACCCACCCCCTCCATCATTTCTTACGTGGCTTGAGCAAAAAAAACTCGCTACTTCCTTTTTATCATGACATTGGTGCACAGTTTTCATCATAACTTCTGCATCCAGTGTCCAACAATTTTGATCTTTAGTTTGTTAGAAAACTCTCGACGAGACGCTTCCAACGAGCCATAGACTGACAAATTATGTGTGCTAGTTTTGGACCTACGATCGTTCAAAGATCGCAAATTTTATTTCACAACTCCAAAACCGCGCGCGCTCGTTTGTTTTGACGAGCGCTATTAATAGAAGCCGTGGCTGAAGTCGCGCCATATCTCGTTGCAAGCGCCTTCGAAAAATCTTTCCAACAAATAATTTTTTGCCAAATTTCGCCCAGCGGATAAAACGTTATTGGCAAAAAACGGATTTCCCTTCTCTCTCCTCTCTCCCCCCCGTGGCCATCTGCAGTACTACGTGGCAGCTTGCTGGACACCTTGAAGACCCCCTGATCAGGGGCTGCTCGACAGTGGTGAGGGTTTGCTCACACAACACACCCTGGATTTGCAGTGTTGCTGGTAGGGGCTGATCAAGATCTCAACACCACCCTCCCTCCTCCACTTGGCTTGCTGCAGTGCAGGCAGATCAGGGTGGCTGATCAAGATCTCAGCCCCCTCTCTCCTCCAGCTGGCTTGCTGCAGTGAAGGCCAAGACCCTCCTGGTCTTGGTACACCTTGTGCCCTTGGAGACACCAAGGGCCTGGTATCACTTCTCCACTCTCCCTATGAACCCACTTTCTCTACCTTTCTGTCTCTCCTCTTACTCACACCCCTCTCCTCACCCCACCTTTCTCCCACCGCCCACTCTTTCTTCATTTCTTTTCTTTTCTTTCCTCCTTCTTTTTTCCTTGCTTCTTTATCCCTCTCCACCTTTCCCCAACCCTCCTCTCCCCCAACTACCACCACATCATCCCCCCACCTTCCACTTCCATCTTTTTCTCTCTGCCACCTATTTCTCTCTTTTCTCCTTCACTTTTTCATTCCCTTTCCCCCCTTCTTCGATTTTTTTCTGTTTTTCTTCTTTCTATCTTTCTTTTGATTTATCTTTTCTTTTTTTTTCGCCAAAAAATTCGAATTATCTTCTCCCCCACCTTGTTTTCTTATTTTCTGATTTATTTCATTTATTTTTCTATTTACTCTGAAAATTCGATTTTCTTTACGGGAACCCTAAATTTGATTAGGTGTTAGTCTTTCTTGCTTTCGACACACGTTTTGACCCCGTGGGGGTAACGAAGTGTTGCCGAAATTTTCTGATTTTCTCTTACTTAGTCTTTTCGGCACACTTCGACCCCATGGGGTAACGAGATGTTGCCAATTTTTTTAAAAAATCAGATACTCCAGTTCTCTCCACCTCCTCATCCACTTATTTACTTATTTATTTATTTATCTATTTATTTATTATTTCTTTATTTATTTTCTGAAATTTTTATTTGCGGCAGTTTGTAACCTAGTGTGCTTATCTAGATCTCTCCCTTTGGCACATTCTTCACCCCATGGGGGGTAGGGAAATGCTGCCGAAAATTTCAAAAAAATAAATCTTGTTTTTTTTTTCTTTTCGCATTTTGTTTACTTCTTCCCTTAATTATTTTTATTATTTATTTTCTTTTGTTTTTCTCTTAAAATCTCGTTGTTTATTTATTTTTCTCCCGCCTTCCCCCCCTATGCTTGCTATTTTATTTTCTTGATTAGGTCACCGGTACTCTACCCTAACCACTTAAACTTCGGTTAGGGTTTTCTTAGGGTTTTTCTAGGGTTTAGGGTTCTTCAACCCCCCCCCCCCCTACTTCCCCCTTCCTATTCGGGCACGCTGGACCCGAACCACCCCTCCCCCTTTGACGGCGCCCGCGCTAACCTTGCTAGTGCCGTCCGCCGCTTTCTATCGCGGACCCCCCCTTATGCCCTCCGCTCACGCGGACCTCTCTTGGCCCCCTCCAGTTCGGCCCGTCACCTTCCCATGGCCGACGGTGTGTCACACGCCGCCAACACGGCGACGACCACGGCAAAGGGCTCCACACCCGTGCCGACGGACCAGGGCCACCAGCCCCAAGGGGATCTGCACACCCTCCTTGCGCCCATCCAGGCGCAACTCGCAACTCTCGCGCCCCTGACGCAGGTGGCGACCCTTGCTGCCGGCATGTGGCAACTCCATGATGCTGGTCGTTCTTCCTCTCCTCACCCTCTCTCTTCTCCTGGCTCCCAGTCCGGATCCCCTGTTCTCCGACAAAGTGGCCACGACGGAACTTCTCCTCTTTTGTCCCCGACCCGACCGTCTTGGTGACCGTCCACGCCCCTAGCACGACGACCGCCACGAATCAAGCCCTCCCTCAGTCTACGGGCGCACCCGCCCAGATTCCGGTCACTACGGCCACGGGACCACAACCCGCTACCATGGTCTCAGCTTTTCCGGGTGCCCCGCTTCTCCCTCCCCTTTGCACGACCGCAGCGCCACCTGGCTCTCCCCCCTCTGGGATGCCCCGCGCCGCTTGTGCGTCCACTTCCTCCACTCTTCCTCCTGCCACTCCTCGCTCGATCCACGTCCAACGTCTCGAGGACGAGCTTGCCCAGATCCGGGACGACCTCGCCCTCTTACGTTGTCAGCCACCCCCACCCTCACATGTGGTCGCGCCTTCGGGCGCACCCCCTACCTCCTCTACCCTTCCTCCCATGCAGGCTCGTTTTTCACGCCCCGCACCCTATCCAGCCCCATCCTACCTTCTTCCTACTCACGCGGTTGCTGCGACCTCTTCTACCGCAGCTCCCTCGCAGCCTGCCTCAGTTGCCCCCGCCGCTCCCCCATGCGGCCCGGGCGCACAGTCAGCTGCGCCCCTTTCTCCAGGACCTGCGCCGACATACTCAGCCGTGGCACATGCCTCTCTCCTCGATCCCCTCGCCGCCAAAACGGTGGCGCACAACTCCTCCGCTTGTCGGACATTGCCCTGTATAACGGTACAGGCATACGCATGTCTCGGTGACTGCAGTCTGCCACCCGCAAGCTCCAGCTCATGGGCGCCACACCCGACACGTGGGTGGGTCACCTCTCCACGCGCCTGGATGACAATCCTTTCGAGGCCTGGGAGGATTTCTACGTGCACTCCCTCCGCGCGGGTCGGACCCCGACCTTCATGGATTTCCATGCGTTCCTCGAGGATCGCTTCGGAGCTCGGCATAACGTGACTGACGCCTTCGAGCGTGTCGTTACTACACGCTGGTCCGACTCATCTGAGTTATGGCCTAGATCTACACGCAGGTCGTCACTACACGCTGCCGGCCTGGATCGCCACATCCAGGTTTTTCAGGACGCCCGCCTCATCTGTGGCATGGCGTTCCTCCCCGAGGCTGCCCTTATCGATCGTTTCTTGGCCAGCCTCCTGCTTGAGTACCGCTCCGAGTTATGGCGGTACGATTTCACATCGGCCCCGCAGGCTTACGAGGCCGCCAGGGAACATCAGCGGATGCGGGCCCGTCTTCACCCCGCCTCCTCCTCCCAGCCCCAGCGTACTGGTTACACCTCCTCTTCCTCTCATGGCACTTCCGAGCGCCGTTCCACTTTTCATGGTCGCCCCCGCCGTTCCGCGCAGCAGGGCCGCCACTTCTCGCGCCGCTTCAACGCGCTCGAGTATGGTGAGCAGGACGCTGGTGCCCAGCTGTCGCCAGAGGGTGACCATAGCGACGACCTCGACCTCGGCGAGACCGTCCACCACCACCTGGAGGACTCTACTCTCTCTATGGCTGAGCGCCTCCAGCTCATCCTCTCCACCCTTTCCCAGGCACACAACCGCCCTGGTCACGCTGGCGCGTCGCCCCCCGAGGTCCCTCAGCAGGACCTCCCTCCGGGCTTTGTCCCTCCTCGCGGTGTCCTTTCTGCTAAGGAGCGCGCGGCTATTTTGGGCCGGCGTGGGTGTTTGCCATGCCGTCAGGACGGTCATACCTCCTCGCGGTGCCCTTACACCACCGCCCTTGACCGCCACTACGCTGACCTTTCCCGCCAGCGTCGTGCTCAGTCCCCCCCTGGCGCCTCGCATCCCCGCGGTGCCTCCTAGCCATGGTGGAGTGTACACTTGCGCCCTCCTAAGTAGTCGGCTTCCCGACATCCCCGTCGCGGTTTGCCCCTCTCGCTCCTGGAGTTGAGGTCTCGCAGGATCCGACAGAGTGTACTCAGCCCTATGTCGCAGTACCGTCTGCGCCTCCGCAGACCACCATCTCCCCTCCTACCCCACCGCGACTATCGATGAGTCGAGCCATTCGCTCAGTCCGTTGCAGCGAGCAGCTCGCTACTCGCGAGGACGTTGTGTCCTCTCTTTTGGACTTAAGCATGCTCCAGGCTCGTCAGGAGCGACTCACCCTCCATATCGTTGCACTGCGTTGCCTTCTCACCATCCTCTCTGACCCTGATCGCACCCTCCCGATCATCCCCGTACGATTGGGGACCTCCACGAGGGTGTACTCAGCGTTGTGGGATTTCGGTTCTCAGGGCGGCTTCATTCACCCACGCGTGGTGAAAGAAGCCCGCTTACCCACGACAGGGTCTCCGACTCCCATCTCTATCACCCTAGGGGATGACAAGATCCAGCGCTTCTTCGATCAGGCGGTCACTGACCTCCCCTTCTTCCTCACTCTCGAGCCGACTTATCGTCCCCCGGCGTCTCGTTGTCACCGCTCCTCGGCACATTTCGATGTGATGGAGACGGGGTATGACTTCATTCTCGGCACTCTGTGGTCTCGTCGGTTCCGCAACACCGAGGCCGATTGGGCGACCAACACTCTCGTTCTCAAAACGAAGTGTGGACAGACGTATCGCGTACCTTTCATAGGTACCACTGCGACAGCAGGCCCCGATCCTCCTCCCCCGGAGCCTTCTGTGCCCACACCATCTCCTTCTATCACTGTCACCTCGCCTCGGCAGTTCGCCCACTTCATCCGACAAGACAACATCACCTTCTTTATGGTGAACGTGACGGATCTCTTACACTATGATCCACCCTGTCCCGACGCCGAGCTCATCCCTCTGGAGCCAGATCCTCCTTCTATCTCCATGGCTCCCATCTCAACTTCCGCCCCTCCGCCGTCCGTCGAGTCCACCCCGTCGTCGCGCACTGACGCTGACGGTGAGGAACTCGCACGCTATACGGCCGACCTGGAGCCCGCAGTTCGTGACCTCATTCGAGAGTACCACGACATTTTCCCATCGTCGTTCTCGTACGCCGGCATCCCACCGATGCGCGACGTCGAGCACTCCATCCAGCTTGTGCGTGACTACCGTGTTCACCACCGGGCACCCTACAGACTCTCGATCCCCGAGGCCACCGAACTCAAGCGTCAGCTTGAGGAACTCCTGAGACCGGGCTTCATTAAACCCAGCAACTCCCTGTGGAGTGCACCCGTCCTCTTTGCTCGCAAAGCGGGTGGAACTCTCCGTCTCTGCATCGACTATCGCGGTCTCAACCGCTACACGGTTAAAAACAACTACCCCATGCCTCGTTCCGATGAGCTGTAAGACCGCCTAGCAGGCAACCGCTTCTTTACGAAGATTGATCTTCGTAGCGGTTACCATCAGATCCGCGTCGCTGCAGCCGACCAGCCGAAGACAGCGTTCCGATCGCGCTTCGGCCATTACGAGTTCACGGTGATGCCATTCGGCCTCACCAACGCACCCGCTACCTTTCAGAGGGCGATGAACAACATCTTCAGGGACATCCTGGAGCAGTACATTCTCGTTTACCTCAACGATATCCTGGTCTACAGTCGTACCCTTGAGGAGCACCCCAGATACCTCCGCGACGTCCTTGACCGCTTGCGCAGACATGGCTTCTATGCCAAGCTGAGCAAGTGCCGCTTTGCCCAGCACAAAGTGGATTTCTTAGGACACTACGTGTCTGACCAGAGTCTCCACATGGACGACGCGAAGATCACTGCTATTGCGGAGTGGCCCGTCTCCACATCCGCCAAGCAGCTTCGCAGCTTCCTAGGCCTTACCAGCTATCATAGTAATTTCATCCAGGGATACGCTAGGTATTCCTACGTCCTTACCTCCACCCTCCTCCGGAAGAACCCACCCTGGGCTTGGACACCCCTCCATGAGGACGCCTTCCGCGCCCTCAAGAAGGTGGTGACATGCGCACCGGTTCTTCACCTACCCGATTTTGACCGCCCCTTTATCCTTACCACCGATGCGTCAGACTTTGCTGTAGGAGCAGTGCTTTCTCAGATTTCCCCCTCCTCTCCTGATTCCTCTCATCCTCGTATCCCTCACTTCCCACCCCCTACCCCTACCACTGCCTCCCGACTTACGCCTACTCATCTAGCTACTGACGAACCTTCTATTAACTATTCTCCTACCATTGCCGAGGACGACACTGTGGAGTCTTGCTCAGGTGATTGTCTGATAGCCTTCTACTCCCGTCAGCTCCTGCCCGCCGAGATAAACTACACTGCTGATGAACGTGAGGTTCTCGCAGTAGTTTATGCCGCTCGGCATTGGCGTCACTACCTGCACGGGGCACCATTCATGGTGCGCACGGACAACTCTGTTGTTCAGGCTTTTCTGACAAAGTCGAAGCGCACTCCTCGACAGGCTCGCTGGTGGCGCGACCTATCCGAGTTTAGTTTCACCACTGAGCACATCAAGGGTGAGACTAATCAGGTCGCAGATGCCTTATCCCGGCGTCCTGACCACGACCAGGAGCAGATCCAACTCTCTTCCATCTCGGTCACCACCGTCCACCACTCGGTGATCGATGAGTTTCGCACTCAGTACCGCCACTGCCCCGACTATCACGACATCCACGCGACCCTTCGGAGTGGCAAGACCGTCCCGAACTACTCTCTCGGGGACAACGGTCTTGTGTACTGGCACGGTTCACAGGGCACCAAAGAGCCCCGTATTCGTGTTCCCTCCACTGGACAGCTACGTGTCCGAGCAGTAGCAGAGTTCCATGACTAGGCACCCACCGGTCATATGGGCTTCCACAAGACGTTGGCTCATGTGAGCCGCCTGTACGTCTGGCCGAAGCGTAAGGACTTTGTGAAGGACTACGTCGCAGAGTGTCCCACCTGTCAGGAGTTGAACAGTGCAAACCACCTTCCTTATGGTTTGCTTCAGCCTCTTCCTATCCCTGAGGGTCGTTGGCAGTCCATCTCGACGGACTTTATCGGTCCCCTTTGTCCTCCGACCCCCCGCGGTCATGATGCTATCCTGGTTGTCGTCGACCGCTTCACGAAGCGTGCACGCTTTGTTCTGTGCCTCTATGCCATCAGTGCACGTGAGGTCACCGACATCGTGTTTGACCGAGTCGTGCGTGACCACGGCTTACCTCTAAGCATCATATCTGACCGTGACCCGCGTTTTACCAGCCGATTCTGGCGACGACTCCACGAGGTGTACGACACACAGCTCCGCTTCTCCTCGTCTTACCATCCTCAGACTGATGGTCAGACTGAGATCACGAACAAGACTCTCGGAGATATCCTCCGAAAGATTGTTCGTGACGACCAGCGGTGGGATCTCCATCTTGTCCATGCGGAGATAGCCTACAACCACGCCGTCTTGCCACTCACGGGGATGTCGCCTTACTATTGCGACCTCGGCTATCTCCCTTGTGTTCCCGCAGACTTCCTTCGACCGTCGCAGATGCACCCCGACACGAGTTGTCCCGCGCTGGATGATTGTATGACGTCGATCATGAAGACCGCACATGAGCACATAGCCGCTTCCCAGACTCGCATGGCAGCACGTGCGAACCGATCGAGGATGGACCATCCATTCAAAGTCGGTGATGTTGTGCTTATCGACGCCCGCCACTTAAAGCTCGAAGCGGACACACTTCACAAATTTCGGCGTCGCTTCTTTGGCCCATACCGCATCCTCCAGGCCGTCGGTTCTGATACGACATCTAGCCTGGTCAGCTTCCGTGTGAAGCTGCCCGACTACCTACGTCAGGCTCGTGTGCACGATGTCTACCACGTCTCGTTACTGCGTCCTTACCGCAGACTGTCTGAGCGTTTCGTTGGACGACCATACGAGCGCCCTCCACCCATCATGGTGGACGACCACGAGGAGTTCCTCGTTTTAGACATCATTGGTCGCCGAGTCACCGACGACAACCCTCCCCACGTCGAGTATCTCGTACGTTGGAAGGGTTACCCTGATGAGGAGGCTACCTGGGAGCCCCTCGAGCACTTGCAGCACGCTCGCATGTTGGTGCGTGCCTATGACCGTGCTCGTCGTGCTGGGTTCACTGCTCCTCCTCAGCCCACTGACCCTCCTCCTTCTCCCCCGACTGACGAGACCGCTGAAGTCGAGCCTGCTCCATCTGAGGCAGACCTTCAGCAGCAGCCGGATGCTTCTGAGCGTCCACATCGCACTCGTCGTCGCCCTGCTCGATATGACGATTGACTCTGACTTATCTTCCCACATCTTTGAATTCTCTGTACTTCATGCGCTCCAGTTTTGCTACTCCAGCTCGTCGACGTTGCGGCTCTTCCTCGACGACATTCCGAACTTCTCATCGTCGATGTCATCGACAGCTTCATGGACTTCGTCACGATCAGCTCTGCCTACTTTAGACGTCATCACTCTCTTACCACTTTACCCTGTACAGTACCCTTGTTGTGTCGCATGATGGTCTCCCTTTAGCCGGGTTCCTCTGAGTTGGGCTCTCTCTTGGTATACGCATAGGCATCGGGACCGTAGCGTTGCCCTGGCTTCCCAGGTTACGGATCTAGCTCCGACTTCCCTCACTTTAGGAGTCATTTGCATGATTCCCTTACCATCACCTTTCTACCCTCTGCCGACCCTCACGCCACAGTCAGGCAGCCCCCCATGCTTCATCTAGGTGCGCTCAGTATACCAGGCTCCCTTGTTCCCTTGCATGGTCGACCCTCAATAGCGGCCAACCCTTTAGTCAAGCATTACCCGCCCTGATGGTCTATCTGTTAGGGTCGTTGGTTCTGTTCGCTCCCAGTTCCCTACCGTCATTGAGCCTGATGACATGTGTTCCCCCTGTCACTCTATGTGGATGCCCTTAGGCGTTTTCAACCCCTAGGCTGCATTCGCCACCCTCAAAGACCATCCCACCCTTTGGTTTGCGACACATTTCTCATGTGACACATGGTTGTCTTGTTGTTGCTTTGCTGCTCTCAGACTGAGGCTACTGCCTCTAACATTTCTAGGATTTAGTTATTCTGCTTTTGCTGTTCTTAGAACTTATACACTAGTCAGCTGTTCCCAGACTGAGGCTGCTGCCTCCAACATTCTAGGATCTAGTTGTCACTACTTTCTGCTTTCCTAGGACATGTATGCTAGTTAGTTGCTTCTGCTTTACTAGGACATGTATGCTAGTTAGTTGCTTTTGCTTTTACTTAGGCTGTTAGCTGTGACATTGCTGTTTTGTGACATTTTATATCATAGGTTGCATCGCATGGACTCAGCATGGAGCTCGCTCCGCATCCTAGACTACTCATGTTTTCTTTTTCTTTGGTAGAGTTCCGCTTTTCGGCGGAAGCGTGCTTGTATCTAGGCGATCCATCACAGGCCGAGGATCGTGTAGCGGACCTCTGGTTGGCCTGTGAGACCAGCCCCTTGGCCTGTTCTCACAGTCGTGTGTTTTATTCGGGGCAGTCCAGTCCAGGCCGGTACCTCTGTCGGTACCAGCCAGTCCAGTCCAGTCCCGTAAGTCCGCTGGGGTATACCCCAACCATTGTCTGTTTTCGAGATATTCTACACTCGCACAGTTTTGGAGTACGTGCGCTGGAGTCTTGCGTGGGAGCTGCGCTGTGCTGTCTCACTCCTCCCTCATCCTCCATTTCCATCATCATCCCTAGCGGAGCACCACACCTGGTAGGTCCGCTACACCTCAACATTGACCTGTATTGTTGTATTAAAGGGACGTAGGACCCGGTTTCCAGCAGGTGTCGCTCCCCACCAATAGACGGAGCAGCCCAACAGTCAAGGCCTCAATTCCAGTGGTTCTCTTACCACTGTCGGGATAGTGGCCTTACAAAAGGGCTCTTGAAAAAAAAAAAAAAAAAAAAAGGGGCATTCCGTGATACCCCTGTGTTTTAGGGGTATCTAAAAATATATCCCAGCTTTAGGGGCCTCTGAAAAAAATTCCCTTTTTTAACTTTTTTCCCTCGCGAAGGGCGATGTTTTTTTTTTTTTTTTTTTTTTTTTTTTTTTGACACCACTAGCACCCGGGGGGAGGCTCCATCTATTGGTGGGGAGCATCACCTGCTGGAAAATGGGTCCAGCGTCCCATTACAAAATGCATTGCAGAATGAATACAGATTGGATCAAGAGAACTTGACTATGAAACCTGCCAGCATTGATTGCTCTGGCCACCAGAGGATTGAATGTGCAGGTTGTTAAGGAAGGGGAGAAAACCTCTTCGCCCTAGCATCAGGCGCCATATATCTACTTGCTAAGACACTAGTCCCTCCCTCCTACTTTTGTTTTTTTTAAACCCTCCCTTTTCCTTTGAGATCGTGAACACACCTGCCAACATTGATTACCCTGAGATCCTCAGGGGATTAATTGTGCAGGAGTGAGCGGGCGTCTGACAACCATTATTAATTAACTCTCCCTTGCATGCTAGGGTGCGAAACTTCTGGGCGTGTCTTTAGTGGACCGGCCTGATGTACAAGGGGGCAGGGAGGCAGGTTCTGCTCCTAGGGGGCGACTGGTGCAGACTACCAGTCCTCCCTATACCCTTATCCATCATGATCGCTCACTGCTGGAGGGTTTACCCTGTGTCGCGGCCATACCAGCTCAGTTCAATCAAGATATTGTTGGGTAGTGGGAATAAGTTAGGGAATTCAGAGGTGAGGGGGCGGCATGTTGCTAGGAATTGCAGTCCAATCATGGAAGGTCAATCGGTAGCTTTTCTGCAATATGTCCAACCGATCGTTGTCGTCCATGTGTCAGCCATCCCATTGAATCTTTGCTATCCATCCTCCTTGTTCTTCCCCCAGCCAGTCCATGCAGAATTCATTTAGTTTTTGAATGATGTCTGATCTTTTGGTGAGAGTGTTTGTCGCTTGCACAATTTTTTTTCCACTGGCTCTAATTGTTGTTTCTATCATGTCTTTAATCATGTCCATCATTTCGCCTCTTTCGACATGGGCACCTTCAAGTGCTAGAGTGCATCTGCGACGCCATATGGCCCATAGTACCACATCCCTCCCGACCCTAAATAAGTTGGCCGTAAAGGTCGAGGTTTGAGCGGTCCAATGCCCAGTTAGTAGGGCTCTCCATTCCCATGGCCAATCCCTGTCCGTGCCTAGCTGGTTCCAAATCCGAACCCACCCACGCCACACCAGCATTAAAGTTGGGCACTGCAAAAAAAATGTTCTATTGTCTCATTAGCCTTTCGAGAAGGAAAACCTTCTTTGCATGCCAGACACCAGGGGAGGGTCAAGCCTTTCTGCTCCAGGTGAGTATGGTCAATGAGCCATGCGTTTGTGGGTAAGCAGCGATGAGTGATCTGCCATTAGAGTGAGGTGGTCTTGGCCGGTTTGGATTTTACCCCTTTAAACCATTTAATGGGTGTCAGGGCATTCAATGGGACATTTAAGTGTCTTGCCCAATGATCCACTATACGGTCCTTCAGGTTGAGTCTAGTCTTAAGCATCCGGTAGGAAGCCTTAACCCCCAATGAGTGGAGATAACGTCGTAACGATATTTTGGTTTGTCGTTCCTCGTTGGAACCCTCCATCTCCACTCAGCTACATCCATGGGGAGGTCCTGGATTGGCGTCTCCGGCCTGAATGCCACCTAGAAGTCCCCTTCTCATAGGACCCTCACTCTATAAACTATTCCAGCATCAATCCAGAAGACTTCATCCGACACTCCCCTGATCAATCGGTTCTGCGGTGTTCGATAGAAAAAGTTTACCAGCACCTCCCCTGGTCTGTCTGTGATTACTTGCCCCACCCACGTTGCATCCCCTCTTAAAACCACCCAATCACCTTCCTCCACTGTTGGCCCTCGCCGAAGGGTCCACAACCATGCAAGAGGGAGGGCGAAGAGGATCTGGTCCAACCTCTCACCTATTCTTTGGCAGTGGGGGAACTTTGTTCTTAACTGCTCCTCTGAGACCCAGTTGACCCTGGTTTGATCCCACAGCTCCCCAACCCTTGTGACCCTGTTTCTTACCCATCCCTTCCACGGGCGGCTCGAGCTGAGAGAAACCCGTCCCTGTTGATCTGTTACCCATCAGTTTCCAAATAGGGGTTGGCGAAAAACTTCCTCCCAACGTTCAGGGAATGACCTATCCAGAAGCGGGAGCCTCCTCCAATCTTTAATTAGATTGGTCCAAAAATCGTCTTTTCGCAGGTCCTTGATAGCTGCGGCCCGATCTGAGTGTGGTTGTGACCATGTGGTGGGTCTGGGGATTGCCCAGAAGACATCGTCTAACCAAGCCATAGGGTGTACAGTAGGGGCAGCCTCTGGTGCCAGCCTCGAGAGTTGTTCCCAGGCTAGGGGCTCCCATGTAAGTCCGGGGGTGCAAACAAGCCGCTTAAACCATTGGAGTGAAAGGGCGGTCGTTTGGGCGGTCGGCTCGAGTATACCTAGACCACCTTGTGACCTTGGCTGCACTACCGCATTCCAGGCTACCCGACTGATAGTATGCTGAGCTTCGAGATTGTGTCTCCATAGGAAGGTTGCCACCTGCTGTTTCAGGGCCTTTGAAGCCGCTCTGGTCAAAGCCTAGATTGCCGATTTATACCAGAGTGTCGCCAAAACCACAATATTAATGACTAGGGTCTTTCACAAGAGAGATGTATATTTATCTTTCCATGTTCCCAACTTTTGTAGGGCCGGACACATTATCCAATTGTCGTTACTAACAGATTTTCCTTCAGTTGAGAGTTGGATTCCCAGGACTCTAATGAGGGTTTCCAGGGGAAGCCATGTCACATTTGGGCGCTCCAGGGGTCTTCCACCATCGTGGTGCATCCACCATCCCAATGTTTTGTTGTCCCAATTAATTGCCATATCAGAGAGGGAGCAAAATCGGGCCATCAACCTTTCAATTTCCTCCATATTTTGAATGGAGGCCTCAACCATCAAGGTGAGGTCATCTGCAAACAATGAACACACCTGCAATGCCTCTTGCGGGATGGAGGTCGTGCTGATTCTACTGGTGTTCCGGTTGGCTCTAAGATTGGCCGCCAAGGCCTCCATCACTACCACGAAAAGGTATGGAGTGATCGGGTCTCCTTGGCGGACTGATCTCTGTAGAGGGAAATCTGGGGCAAGACACCCATTTACCTGTACACGCGTGGTAGTGTTTTGGTGAAGTATACGCACCCATCTCCGAAAGGATCCTCCAAAGTTCATTTTCTCCAAACATTTATCCAAGAAATGTCAGTCGACATGGTCATACGCCTTTTCAAAATCTATAAAGATAAAGGCGGCATTGCACCTGGACTGTCGAGATAACCTCTGGAAGTCAT